GGCAAGGTTAGGGGGTTGATGTAGCAATGACCGGAGCAGCACAAATAGCGCATAGTCAGATTTTTCAAGTGTGGAAATTATTTTGCATGGACAAAGGTATATATTACTTTTAATTTAACTACTCCTTTAGTGCACCTATCATTGAAACGGCATTGTTGAAGGTACTTATATGCAGTGCTAATTATACGAAATAAACGGTGTTAAATTTCACATACCACATCAAATACCTTCATCGATATATCATCGTATTCCTAACGATAACGGCCACTTCATATTCAGCGCGTGCAACCACATAACACGAAAAAACGCACATCTGCGTATCCAGTCATACAGAAATACGAAAACAAATACAAATGTTCATATTCAGTCAGAACCCATCTTCACATTCAACCACAACACATCTACATATTCAGTCAGAACCCAGCTTCACATTCAACCACACCACATCTACACATTCAGTCAGAACCCATCTTCACATTCAACCACAACACATCTACATATTCAGTCATACAGAAATATGAAAACAAATACAAATACAAATACAATACCCTGCTTCACATTCGAAAACAACTACAAATCTACATATTCAGTCATAAGACATTTACATATTCAGTCATAACACATTTACATATTCGGTCATTAATTAGCACATTTACATATTCAATCACGGAGTAAGGTCAACACATCCGGTCACCTACTGAATGACAAGAACATACCAATGTACCAAAACCCAAAACACCGAGTCCTCGATCGCAGCAGCCAGCTAGGGTCATATCACGACGAATGCTTAAGGACACACTGCCCCGGGGGGATTTTAGGGGAGAATATGAGAAACGAAACAGATCCAAAGTGCTACAATGGGAACTGCAGTTCAATTGTGGTATCTTCAATATATATACTGTCCTCTTACCGATTCTGCGAGGGGGAGAGGGGACTCACATTGATACACATGTTATGGGATACAGCATGTCTATTGTTGGTTTCTTCAACGTCCCCTCAACAAAAGACAAGGGAGAAACCATCTCGATTCTGCAGGGGTGCGTACGTATATTAGTCGCCTCTTACGATCATGCAGTGTGATGCTGCACGGGTGACAGCAAACGAGTGTGGCGCGAAAACTGCAAACTAAAACGACTCGACATGTGAGTTCATGCTAAACAACTATCTTTGAACATACAAATTCCGTTTGTGGATGGTAAAACTATTGTTCGACGTATACAGATATCAGAAACAGTTTATTGTGATGTTTTTCCGGAGCCATACATAAAGACGAAGGCCAAAATATTTTCTGTGAAGAACACAGCTAGGAAGTTGACGCTTTTTTACGATATAAAAAAAACAATCAAGAATATAACACATAATTTTGGTATACATACCCTACACATGTGTACACTTTTAAAAAATGGTTTTCTGCACAGATGAATTACACACGTGATAACGAAAAGCAATTTTTTGCAATCCGTAGTATTGGTTTATCAGTGCTGCCGTAGTCCGTGTTACATGTATATATATAGTACCGGGGATTTCCAATGACGTATACTTATATGTATATAGTAGATGACACATTAGTCTAACAAGAGGGCTCTAGCTAGATGGTCGTATCGGTGTGAGTTAGGAGGTAAGTGTTTAGATTTGTCCATACTTTTACAAAATTACTTGACTCAAAAAATGCAGTTATTGGACAAAACATCAGCAGAGAATACTTTTAGTTTTAGTAATTTGCAGTACGTACGTGTCGGCAAGCTGAAAACAGGCTATTTATAGGCCTACTGTAAAGTTAGCTGACGTAGTTTTGTAGTCCGGCCACTTATTTCGAACGGTGTCTTAAATTAAATTATCATGTGTAAATTTATTATGATACAATCGTTTGAACAACGCACCTTTGGAACTTCTGCCATAAAGTTCTATTTGCATGTTCTGCACAAATTAACAAACGCCGGGGACCACGGAGACCTGAATCATAGGTGGTGGGCACGTCTATCAAAAAAATAAATTGAATATATAAAACTAGAAAGGTGAGGAACTCAGCCCCTACCAGCGGCTGGCAAAATTGAGGTAATTTTGTTTGAAGTGTCACAGAAATTTTATCCGCTAAAATCCTTCCCACAGCGTAGTCTCGATCGAAAGTAGGGACATTAATCTTTAAATAACACCCATTATATATCTTCAAAACAGTGTAGTTATTTCGTAAGCAGTTTCGAAGCTTGCAAAAATCACCGATTTGTGTTACCTCGGACACGATCCGGAACATTTTTTCGAAACAAATTCTTCATTCGGTACACAGAATAGCGGACGACGTAACATTAATAAACCATTGTATACTCAAAGATAAGGTCAAAACAAACTTGCTTACTTGTTTTACGCACCACTAAATTTCTCCTCTCGTGTCCCTCA